AAATCGCACATTGTTGCACGACCCCCCGTTTTGCAACAATGTGCTTTTTTCGCGAGCGACTCTAGGCAACAAAGTTGCAAACGCGATTCTCCTTTTTGCAACTTTGTTGCCGGAAGCCGCTCACGAAAAACGCACAAAGTTGCAAAACGGGGCGCCGTGCAACAATGTGCCATTTTCGGGACAACAAAGTTGCAAACCAGATAACGCGTTTGCAACAATGTGCAATTTTCGGGAGCGACTTTCGGCAACAAAGTTGCAAAAAGGTGAATCGCGTTTGCAACTTTGTTGTCGAGAGTCGCTCCTGAAAAATGCACAAAGTTGCAAAACTGGGCGCCGTGCAACAATGTGCCATTTTCGGGACAACAAAGTTGCAAACCAGATAACGCGTTTGCAACAATGTGCAATTTTCGGGAGCGATTTTCTACAACAAAGTTGCAAACCCGTTAACGCGTTTGCAACAATGTGCTGTTCTCGGAAGCGACTCTCGGCAACAAGGCTACAACCCCGATAACGCGCGTTTACAACATTGTTGCGCGACGGTGTTCTCGAAAAATGCACATTGTTGTACGACGAGCAATATATAGACTGTAAAATGCTGTAAAATAATACTGGTATATTGTAACCTTTTGTAATATACATTTAAATAATAACTTTTCAATAAATAATGGATTTATTAACCGGTAATTGCATTTCTTCAGTTTTCCTGATGTTCAAGTCCTTTCCTTGATTTCTAGGGTGTCCTAGAAGGTCCATCTATAATTCATACGCAAAGAACATTAATTTTTCTAATTTTTAATAAAAGTTATAATCAATTTCCGACTAATTTATCGAATGTAACGGTTAATTCAATGCAAAATTAATATATTATGCAGTTCTATTAAGTTAAAGCGTGCAATAATTTTATTGAAATCTTTCAATAATTATAAACAACCATCTACATTGTTATTTTACAAGAAACACTAATTATTCGATAGTGCGTGTACGTGAAACTAAAGTAGAAATTTAAATTTCTATCTACTCACTAAAAATAATGGTAAAAGAATGTAAAATTTATTATAAATATTAATTTTGAAGTGCCTGCTGTATGCAATTGTTAATTTAATGCGAAATTAATAAATTAAACTGTTTTGTTAACAATTATTATAGTGGAGAAAGAAATTTTAAGTTTTTATATTAATTATCTCTTACACTTTTATGTACAGCGTGAAGATATCAATTACGTTCGTATTCGTCTCAAGGAATACGACTAGATTTTGTTTGACATTTAAAGAAATATAATCGTAACCTTCTTCGGGTATTGAAGTCTCAAAATTAATTGGTAACTTTGAGATTTCGTAATGTAATGGACGTTTCTAAAAATCGGCAGAAATACAAACATTATACATGCCTCTGTTTTTCAGTGATGGGGAAAAGAAAATTTAGAGTTTCGGTAATTCATAAAGATCTTTTTACTGTATTTTATGATGAAAGTATTATTATTTTATGATCTATTGTGTTTGCTATTTTCTAATTTTTCATTTTTTTTATACGTTTATGAAGAAATATTAATATTAATATAAATTTTATCTAAATATTTTTATCGATTTATAAGTAATATTAACAATTATTGGATAATTTAACAATCCTCACTTTGAGATGGGTGTCCTTACTGCTTCTCCGGAAGCAGGAGATGCATCAGGTAACATCATACCCCCAATAGAAAAAAGTACTGCCACTTTTGGCAATTCTTCCAAGAGTTTTATGTCTACAATATCAGAAGGAAATATGACTAATCCGAATGCTTTGATATCTGCATCAAATTGTAATTCCACCAATATTATGAACAAAGATAAATATAGACATATGATTTTGATGGAAAATGATGTTGATGAAATGAGCACTTCTACAATTTATGATAGATGCCAGTTCCCTTATTATAGGTTAGTATTACTGCTATTTTCCAATATTGAAAGCATTTACTATTAAACTTTTGATATTGAATCAAGTTTATAATTATGTTATAAATAATATATAGATTTAAAACAAGCTGTAGGTATACTTGAAGTTACAAAAGAAAGTAAAAGAAAAATATTACTTTGATTTTTTTTTTTTATATTTATGTGTTTTTACTATAGGAGTAACAGGAATGGCGATAGATATTCAGATGCAGTTTTAGTAAAAGATGTTGGTGTGTCATGTTTGCTTTTAAATCAGAACATTTCAGAAATACCGGTTCCTAAAACAAAAACTCTTGTGAAGCAGCTTAAGAAAGAATATAATGATTTATCTCACATTACAAACAAAATAACTGCATATACAAAAGATATTTTAAGTCACTTATCAACAAAAAATAAAAAAAAACATCAATGGCTTAAGAATTTGGTATTCAATTTTTAAACAATTTAAGATATTTACATATAAGTAATATTTCTATATAACTAATTATATGTGATTTTTTTATACATATAAGTACATAACTAAATTTAATTGTAGATACATGTTGAAAACTCAGTACAGTAAAGTACAGTTTAAATATTTTATTTTACTCTATAGGTAACTGCAAAACATGTAATAGCATCTCAGTACATAGACAGCAAAGACAATCTTTGCTTAAAATTGAGACTTTTTAGTAATGCAGGAACTCAATGTGCCACTCAGCAAATGGTTAAGAATTCTGATAATATATTATTTAAAGATATTTCAAAGAAACTGTATGGTAAACATTGTAATTAACTTAATCATTTTATAACAAGTTCAAACAAAAGTAAAAATTCATTTTGTTTCTTTAGATAAAGATTATGAATTTACATATAAGGTTTTATGTTAGTTTTATTTATGTGTACATACTTATGTATAGCGAAAAACCGGATTTTAGATAAAGATCAAACAATGTACGAAGAAAATATAAAACCAAAATATGAAAAAAATGTTCAAACAAGAATCCGTAAAAAAAATGTGCAAACAAATACTTCCAATTTATCATTACACAGGATTTCTTCTATTTATAATTATTTAACAATAAATAAGAAGGAAACATCAAATCAGCTATTAAATTCTGAATTAATAAAATTTGGAAATATGCATAAACATCGAAATTATAAAACTTTAAGTGATAATACAGATTACAGGGATCATCCAAAGAGATGTAATCCAATAATATTTACTAACTGGAAAGAAATTTCAAAATCGAAACAGGCTAAAAATAAAACATCTGTTACTTCTAATGCATTACAAAAAATGGTTTGTTTAATATCATACGTTGAAGAAGACGTTTACAATATGATTATAATTATATTATTCTTTACTTACAGGAGATTGCAAAGAATAAGATTTTACAGGAAAAATTTTTGAAGCATAACACAATTAATAATACACCTGATACAAAGTTTCATACGGTTAATATCCAAATTGTACGACAAAATAAAAGACATGTATAACTTTTGTATTCATAATTTTTCGTTACATTCATATGTAATAAATATTTTCACATTATTTCAAATTTTAAATATTTGCTTGAAGTTCAATCTTTAACGAAAATTGGTTCAGATTTATTTCTTCCAATTGTGTTTTTTATTTGTTATTTATTGTATATTATACATATAACTCAATATATGTATATATCGATATTTTTAATCAAGCTAGTGCAAATTGACAGTTAGATTTGTATTAAAGTGTAAAATGTATTTGATTTCTTTTATATAAAACATATATTTTATTATATTGTATGCATATAATGCATAAAAACACTTATTAACAAAATTTACAAACATCTAGTCAATTGTAAGGTTTATAAAAATGTTTAATACAATATTATAGGTTATATTACGCAGTTGTAGGTTAAGAAATTTATAACTAGCAGCATGTATCTTTTAAAATGACAAATTCTGTCATAATATTAATAAAAACAAAATATATTGTTTGAAATCAAATAAGACATAATGTGGTGTAATATACAAATAAATAGTGATGTTTACATAGTTTCTGTTACACAAAAAGATGATGCTATTAATGTTTTTTTAACAAATCTTATAGAAATATGGATGGAAACATTAACACGTAACATTATTTTACAGAGATGCCAGGTAATTAACCGTAGAAAATCCAAACTACTTTTGCAGTAGCATAAACTATATTTGTTTATCTTTAAAAATTAAATCTACAGATGAAGTAGTTCAATTCACTTGTTTGTTTCAGACATTAAATCCACTATTAAATGTTAAAGCTATTAATTATTATGAGATTGTATTAGATATTTTGAATAATATATCTGTACATATCGTAGAAGCCTCTACAGAACAAATCAAATTAAAAGTTCCACTAGAAGGTGGTTCAATGAAATTCACTCTGAATTTATCAATAGGCAAATCTAAAGATTTTTGGGAAATTGTAACTAAACCTTTGTGTATATCATCAATGGAAATTATTCGTCAACATGAATTTCTTATAGATTTAATAAAGAAGAAGGATGAAGAAATTGCAGAATACAAAGCAGAAGGAGCTGAATTAATAAGAAGTAGGTCTTTTTTAATATTAGAAATATTAAAGCATTTTCTGTTAATACAAAACTTTATTTTATCCAATGGTATAGAAAATATTGAAACAAAAACTTTTACGGAAGAACAACTAAAAATAAACATTCCTTCTCCAAATGTTCTTGATTATACTAATGCATTTCAAAGAATGATTGATTTTTACAATAAACTTAATTTGGACAAATGTAATACAACTTTTACAGAACTTACAAGGTATTAACAAACAGAAAACATTAAATTATTATTTATATTGCTACATTAAAACGGTATGTCAAAATATAAAAAAGATACAATACAAATTTCTAATGATTGGGATATTGTACAGCAACAGCAATAACTGTGATGAAATGGGGAAAACAGAGCAGAATATAACTATTCCTATTGAGGATAATGATAAAAATGCATGTAAAGATGTTGTAAACAAGGACATTTCTATGCAAGGGAAAACAAAAGCTTTACATTCAAAAAATAAAGACCAAAGTAAAAGTGCATCTAATAAGGAAGTACCTAACCAAAAAACTCGAACTGCAAATATGGTATATAGACCTATCAAAAAATTAAAAAAAGGTTTGCATAATTCTATATTGTAAAGTATATTTTTTAAATAATAAATAATTTACTGAATTAGAAAACTAATTATAGTGCAACAATGAATGTAGAACACAAAATGAAGTTAATAACACTAGTTATATAATGTAAATCTACTTAAAATATTATTAAGTCAACATTAATAAAAGTAGTTACATAGCTTGTTGAACCATTTCTGTAACAGTT